GCGCAGCTTTATTGAAAATTTTTTTTTTTGATTAAAAATTTTTTTTTTTTTTTTTTTTTTTTTTTTTTTTTTTTTTGGGAAAATATGTGACTGATATTTTTTCCGTAATAATCAAACGATTCGAATGTTTTCTCTCTTGCTCTTGAATAATCGATTATATCGATACTATCGATACTGTATTCATCATCATCATCATCATCAAATAATGTGATTACTTATTAATCAACCGAAGAAAGAAAGAAAAAAAAATGAAAAATATTCTTTTTCGACCCAGATAAAAAAAAAAGAAGAATGTAATTACACTGGTTGTTAACACTGCAGTAGTAGTAGTTTATGTGTAAAAATATTACCCCCCCAAAAAAAACAAACGAAAAAAAACAAATTCTCCTGATAAAATCAATAATGTCTATTCGTTTTTTTTCTGGTTTAATCAGATTGATGAATGAATGTTGATAATTAGTTAGTTAATCAAGGGAATTTCTCTTTCGTTCAGGTCTTGTCTCGTTTTGCTTCATTCAATATCAAGTGGCAGATGAAAAACATTTTCAGGTGAAAATTTTACTACTTTTTTTTTGGTCCAAATGGAATGTTTTCCATGTTTAGATGTTTGACGTTTGATTGATGAAATTGAATTTTTTTTTTTGTTACTTGAAAATTGTATCAGTTTTTTTGTTTGTTTGCTCTAATCAAATCTGTGATTATTATTCCGGTTTTCATTTTCAAAATCTTTGGTTTCCATTTGCAAGAATATGAAAAAAAACCTATTTTGATTAACCCACCACTACTCTCATTGGAGATTTTCTATATATAAATGTCTATCAATGTATATAGAAAGATGTAATTTTGGAGAAAATATATACTATGTGTATAAATGGGGTTGCTGGTTGCTTGTTTTTTATATAATGTATTTTGTCGTCGTTGTTTGTTGTTTGTTAGACGATTCTTGTGGAAGAATCTTGTGGTCTAGACAGTAATAAACTTTATTTTTTTCTGGTTCAAACATTGAAGGAATCCCGGTGTATAGTGTTTTTTTTCTGTCAACGAATGAAAAACACAACACATATCTGGGTAGAAGCATTATTCAAGTTTTTCAAATGATGATGTTTTTTTCTATCATTTGCATGATTATAATTGATTATTTTTTCCCTGTGTTTGGTACAAATATTGAGGAAATTTTTTGGTTTTGAACCGAAAGAAAACAGCAAAAAGCATTACAGTGAAGACAACATTTCAGGGGTTTTTATTTTTATTTTATAATTAAATATGGATGTCATTCGATCCTGTTGACTTTTAATTGAGGGAAAAAAAAGGATTCTTTTTTTTGTTGAAGTAATTAGGGTTAATTAAATTATAATATCTCATTAATAACATTATCTTATATTAATCACTTTCAAAATTTTTCTTTGTTTTTTCTCATTTGAAATGAATCAAATACAACAGTGTTAAATACTTTGAACAGACAGGGAAAGAAATATCATTGAATGGATGGCAAACACAAAAACTAAATAAATCATCAGGCTGAATAATAATAACAAAACAGAGAAACCAAAAACCAAAAGCCAAAAATCAAGAATTGGATAAAATCAGTGGACAACCAAGTCAAAATTATCATTATTAAATCAATCAATAACCGATTTCTGTTTGATTGGAGTTTTGGCTTTCAATTCGTTAATTTTGGTTGTTATTGTTTTTTTTTTTTTTTTTTTTTTTTTTTTTTTTTTTTTTTTTTGGGAAAATATGTGACTGATATTTTTTCCGTAATAATCAAACGATTCGAATGTTTTCTCTCTTGCTCTTGAATAATCGATTANATCAAAAACCGATTTTTGTTTGATTTGAGTTTTGGCTTTCAATTCGTTAATTTTGGTTTTTTTTTTTTTTTTTTTTTTTTTGTTGTTGTTTGTCTGTTTTTTGTTTTGTTTGTAAGTTATGAATACCATAATATCAAAATTAGAACAAGATGATAAAATATTGGCAGAACTGGACAATCAATTACGTTCAGTATCGAATAGATCATCTAGAATTGGTCATATATCATCATCATCATCGCCACCACCATTATTATTGGATACAAATGGTGATAGTGGTGATAAACATTATCATCATCATCAACAACAACAACAACAAAATGAAAAGATTAATAAATTAATAACAACCAATAAACATACATCATTATCATTCGATATTGATGATAAAAAATTGATTGATAATTTAAAACAACAACAACAATTAAAACAACAACAACAAACAATAACAACAACAAATCGATTGCCTTTATCATCAACAAAATTTCGTTCAACAACAACAACAACATCGAATGAATTAAATGAATGGAAACAATATCAACAACAACAAGAAGATTATCAAAGCGTTCTGAATACAACCGATCATATATCATCATCAACAGCAGCAGGGTTAGGTCATCATCGTGATGATGATGATGATTATGGATGTTTTCAAAATGGTCAGTATTAGTTTTTTTTTCATTCATTTTTCTCATAGAATTTTTCATTGATCTTTGTTTTAAATAGAAAAATCAAGAAAATCAAGCAGTTCAAATCAATCAAACATATCGAATGATTTGAAAAGAATTGAAAATAAATTAGCATCAGTTTTAAATCGGTCATCAAGTAGTATTGGTCATCAACAACAACAACAAAATAAACATTATCAATTAAATAATGATGATGATCATCATCATCATTATAATAATAATAAAAAATTACTAGCCAATTTAGATGCTCAGGAACAACAACAACAACAACAACAATTATCGTTTAATAGATCAACAACAACAACAACAAAAATGGATAATAATTATCTAATGAAAGATAAAAAATTAAATACAACCAGTGAAAAAACAAGTAAGTTTACAAAGATTTGGTTGATTTGGATTTTACAAATTTTTGTAAATGTTTTTTGTAAACTGTTTTTCACACTTTAGAATCAAAAGACGTATCATTAAGCAAAGATTTAGATTTATTAATGGAAAAATTAGAACGAGATAATAAAATTTTAGCTGAATTGGATAAAAAATTACAAACAGTTTCAACAAATATTCATACAAATGTTGATGATAATGAAATTATTGGTGGCCAATCATTATCATCATCATTGCCTTTATATGGTGAAATGATGAAATTGCCAAAAACAACAAACATATTGAACGATCAACAACAACATCATCATATCATCAGTAAATCATCAAATCCATTAACATCAACATCTATAAATCGTATTGGTCAACAACAACAACAACAACAACAACGTACATTACCAATAGCCGCCGAATCTTCAGCATCATATAATGCACAGATTGATGAACTTAAAGAAGCTGAAGATATTGTTGATAGTATTGAATTACCAAATCGTGGTAGATGTAAAGTATTTATGGCAAAATATAATTATGATCCATATAAACATTCACCAAATGATAATCCTGAAACTGAAGTAACATTATTAGCTGGTGATTTTATACTTATATTTGGTAATATTGATGAAGATGGTTATTATTATGGTGAATTATTAGATGGTCGTCGTGGTTTAGTACCATCAAATTTTATTGAAAAATTAACCGGTGATGATTTGTTTGAATTTCAAGCACGTGTTTTATATGGTCATAATAAAGATAATGAATCAGATACAGCTAGTTTTCCACCAGAATTTTATGATGCTATTCTAAGTGAACAAATTGGTCATACTAGTTTTCAACATCTTCTTGCACCGGGTAATTTTTTTTCTTGTAAAAATTGTTTATTTTCATTTTATCATTGTTTTCCTTCCTTTAATTTAGATGATTTTCATCGTATCAATGATTATATTGATTTAGAAGATGCAACTGAAATTGATGAAGATGTTTCTGAACCGGAAAGAGCTGAACAAGAAGCTGCCAAAACTACAGGTAATTCTTGACAATTTCTCTCAATTTCTTCAATTTTCTTGTTTTAATCGTGATTTTTTTTCAATTCAATTCAAAACAAAAATAGTTCCACCACCACAACGTTTAATTGTTGAAAGACAATTACATAAAAGTGTTCTTATTGGATGGTTACATCCAGAATGTCCACGTACAATGATTGATCATTATCAAATTTATGTTGATGGTGTACATAAAGCAACAATACCAGCTGGTGATAGAACTAAAGCCCTTGTTGAAGGTGTTGATTCATCAATGGTAATTTATTATTGTTCTTATTTTAACTTATTTTATTTTGAATAACGGAAATTTTTTTCCCTTGTTTCCTGCTTTAAAGCCACATCGTATCAGTATTAGAGCCATTGATCGTAATGGTCGTCATTCAAAAGATCCAGGATGTACAATAGTGATTGGAAAAAGTTTGTTTGATAAAATTTTTTCTTTCTTTGATAATTTTCATTTTATTGTTGTTTTAGATATACCATTTGCACCTTGTTGTGTAAAAGCATCAAATATAACATCCGATTCAGCATTAATATCATGGATACCATGTAATTCAAATTTTTATCATGTTGTTGCTGTTAATAGTGTTGAAGTTCGTACTGTAAAGCCAAGTGTCTTTAAACATTTAATTGTTGGCCTATCAGCAAATACATTATATCGTGTTTCAGTTCGTGCCAAACCTGGAAAATTATTATGTAGTGATGAAAAAAATCCTAAAAAATTAGAAATGTTAACAACATTTGTTGATTTTCGTACACTACCAAAAAGTAAATGAATTGAAACAAATGAAAAAAACATTCAATTATACTAATGGTTTTTTTTTCAATTTGAAAAAAATCCAGGTCTTCCAGATCCACCAGTCGATATACAAGTTGAAGCTGGTCCACAAGAAGGTACATTATTAGTTACATGGCTTCCAATTACATTGAATCAATTTGGTACATCAAATAATTGTCCAGTAACTGGTTATGCTGTTTTTTCTGGACATAAAAAATTAGCTGAAATTGATAGTCCAACTGGTATGTTTGAAATAATGAAAAACAAAATTGAAATGAACGAAAATTCATTTATCATTATCATTAGGTGATCATGCATTATTAGATATAGCATCATTGGAACATTTACATAAAAAATTAATTACTGTACGAACAAAATCTGGTGAAAATTTATCACAAGATTCAATGCCTTGTCAGATACCAGATGATTTACTTAAATTACAATTAATTGCCAATCAAACTAATCAACCATTAATGAAAAGGGTAAGTTTGTTTATAATTTTTTTTGGGGTTAAATTTTATCCATCAAACATAGAAACAAAATTTTTGAAATGTTTCACCACAATGATTTTTTATCGATATATAATATGCTGTTGTTTTTAATGAATAGACACAGATTATAATGAATCAATCAGATTCTACGGAATCGGATACAGATTTAAATCGTTTAATACAAATGGTTACTAGACATAGTAAAGAATTTGAAAATTTAATAGTTTCACAATCACAATCACAATCTCAACAACAACAGCTACTACAACAACAACAACAACAACAACAACAAGATCAACAACAAAAACAAATGATCTATATGAATCAGGTAGACAACAAAAAAAAATAATAATTCATGTCGCATCTTTCTCTCTTTCCTTCAAAATATATCCTTCCTTTTTTCTATTTCGACTTTACCGAAGCTTTTTTATTGTAATATTAACTCTGTTTTCGGCAAACAGCATAAGAATCGCACTATCTATCTATCCATCTATCTATCTATCTGTTTCCAATTCTAGATGTCAAAACAAATCAAAAATCAAAAATCTTTAATGCTAAATTTGCTTTTCGAAGATGTTTTCCAAAGAAAATTTTCTTATTTTTTTTCTAATGAATTTTGTTTTTTTTTTTGCTTTGTTCATTATTAAACAGAATACCCAATATGATATGAGACATCGTCAAATGTTAACTAATCGACAACAACAACAACAACAAACAGCTAATGTTAATCGTATGATTAGTGGTAATCGAAATCGTAATATACATTCATCATCCGGTTTACATATAAATGATAATAATATGACACGTATGACAATACCTGCAATTGAAATAACAAAAGAAACACCAAGCGAAAGTGTACAACCAATGGAAAGTTATTCGGAAGAAGAATTTGATCATTCAATGAAACAACGTGTTTATAGTGGTGGTAAACAACGTACAACCGGTATATCACCAATACCACCACAAAGAACAAGAGTTTTAAGTGAATATGAAAGATCAAATCTAGGTCCTTATAATCAATTGACAACATCAACAGCACATCGTAGACAATTAAATCAACGTGATCGTGAACATGGTGTACGTTGGTTTGTTGCATTATTTGATTATGATCCAATGACAATGTCACCAAATCCGGATGCAGCTGAAGAAGAATTACCATTTCAAGAAGGACAACTGATAAAGGTTATTTTTGAAAAAAAATTTTTCATAATTTATCCAATTGATTTTAACCTTGAAAATTATCATTATTAAACAGATTTATGGTGATAAAGATGCTGATGGTTTTTATCGTGGTGAATGTAATGGTAGAATTGGTTATGTACCATGTAATATGGTTTCCGAAGTACAATATGATTTAGAAAATGATCCAAGATTTCGTAATAATCCAAATGATCCATTATCACATTTACCAATAAGAAAAATGATTGCACTTTATGATTATGATCCACAAGAATTATCACCAAATTTTGATACAGAGGTAAGTGTTTGTTTTTTGCGAATTTTTTCCATTTTTCCATTTTTTTGTGAGGGAAAAACTTTTATAAATTCTTTATATGTGTGTGCGTGCGTGTTAAATTTGACCAAAAAAAATATATTGATAAAAAATATCTCTTGTATTATTATGAAACGAAAATGAAAAACATCAAAAATCAAAAAACTACCAAAAAACAACAAAAAATATAAAGACGGAATTGGCATTTAGAACTGGCGATATAATCTATGTTTATGGTGATATGGATGAAGATGGATTTTATATTGGTGAAGCAAATGGAATGCGTGGTTTAGTACCATCAAATTTTCTTGCCGATGCTGGACCAGTTGATTCATCATCAGTAGCCGTAGCAGCAGCAGCAGCCGGAGCAACAACATCATCAACAAATCCAACAAACGTTCGTCATGTGAGTCGCGTTGTTAAAGGTGGGGAAGCGGAGCAATCATTTGGAAATCTGGTTTAAATAAAATCAATCATTAAGCAAAAATGAAGAAATTGAAATTTTTTTTTCAAATCTTGAGAAAAAATGATAATAATTCAAATTTCTTCTGATCCCTAGAATTTTAGTTAACCCTTTCTTTGCCCTAATCAAATTAGCAATTTATTTAGCTTATTAGCACTTTATGTATGGTGGGTGGTGATGTTTGTTATGTATGTGTTCTTAATAGTCAATTTGATGATATGCACCTTACAATTACATAACACAGCATTTGTAATTTAATTTAGTTTAGTTCATAGATGTTTGCTTTCTTTTCTTTTCTTTTTCTTTTGTTTTTGGATGTTGATTGATGATTGATTGACTGATGATGATTGATTGATTGATTGATTAATAATTATTATCATTTTAGTTAGAATTTCTAGTTATAATTCTAGTTATTTGCTAATTTTTAATAGTTTACTTGAATATTTTCTTTGATTGATTTGTAGTTTTGCATAGTCGTAAATGAAATCGTAGTAGATTTTTCTAGTCATTTTATAGATTAACTAATGTAGTTTTTTATCATTAAAATTTTAAATTTCAGTCAAAAAAAGTGTTAAAAATTCATATTTATTCAATATATTTTTGAATTTGTCAAAAATCACATCACTCCAATCACTCATTCACATCACTTATCACTTAATCCATCAATCAAATCAATCCATATCACTTGATTCACCAATCAATCAATTACCGATTTCACCGTCACCACCTTGAAAATCCTTCAGAAATTTTTTTCCGGGCTGCTAAAATCTATGAAAAACAAAATCAATGAAAAAATCTATCGCCAACCAACCAAAAAAAAAAAAAAACTCCATTCTTTCTTGATTAACATCTTTCTAATCTCTCTCTCTTTATATAAAAATCACATTTCCTAATTGCTCTGCTTCCTCTCTTTGTCTCTCTTTCTCAAAAAAAAAACACAAACAAAAAACTAAAACAAATTTACAAAAATTCACTTTTCCATTCATTTTTTTTTCAATCACTATTCTTTTCACTTGAAAAAAACAAAACTGGAGACACCTGGTTCTCGCACTTAGATTAGATTCACTTTTATAAACACATCACACACACACAGAGAAAAAACACTGAAATGTTTCATTTTTTTTCCTGATTTATTTTAATTATTTTTACATTTTTTCATTCCAAAAAATAGGTAAAAATGATGTCAGCAACAGGTCAACAACAACAACAAATGTCCGGACAATTACAGGCAAATCGTCAAATGAATACTATGACCAATATGGGACATGGTCAATTAATGACAACAACAGGTGGAATGATTATGGGTCAACAATTAGGCCAAATGCAACAACAACAACAACAACCAGGCACTGTTTCCCAACAACAATTTCAACAAGGCCTTCAACAACAACAGCAGCCATACAATCAAATCGGACAACAACAAAATTTCAGCCAAACAGGACAAACAACAACAGGCAATTTATTTCAAAATACCCAACAACAACCGACACAACAAGGATTATCCCAACAGCAAATGTTAATGCAACAGCAGCAGCCTCATTTACAACAACAACAAACAAACCATCAACAACAATATCAACAAACCGGAACACAATCAACAACATTAATGCAAACTGGTCAACAAGGTATTCACAATCCACAACAACAACAACAACAAATGTTTCAACAAGGCCAACAACAACAACAAGGTACATTCCAACAGCAACCGCAACATTTAACTACCCAACAACAGCTTATAGCACAACAACAACAAACAAATCAATCAATGATGGGTCGTGTTATGAGACAACAAAATCCAATGATCAATATGACAGGTATACATCATCAAGGACAAATAGGACAACAAGGCCAATACAATCCAATGTTTCAAGGTCCTGGTACTAATTTAGGAAATAAACAAAGACCAAATAGTTTAGATTTAAATATGTCAACAACACCAAGATTTGGTCAACAAATGGTTAATCAAACTGGTTTAGGACCAAGTGGACCAATGATTACTGGTGGTGGTGGTCAATCTGGTCAATTACAAAATCAACAACAACAACAACAATCAACCGGTATGTTGGGTAGTTTATTTGCATCAGGTAAAAAAATATTGGAAGAAGCAACAACACCATTAGGTGCACGTGGACCATTTGCACATCCAAATCAACAACATCAACCAATGATGGGTCATCATCAACCACAATCAACAATGTCAACAACAACAACAGCGATGCAACAAAATCCAATGATTATTGGACAACAGCAACCACAGCATCCTCAACATCCACAACAACAACAACAACAAACACAAATGAATTTTATTGGTCAACAACAACAACCACAACATCCACAATCAGCATTTAATCCAATGATGGCTAATCAAACAAATCAACCTGGACAACCACCAGCTGGTACAATAATGAATACAATGAAAAGTTTATTTAAATTATGATCAAATTTGATCTGGCCAGCAAGAGATTATTTCAAGATGAAACAAACAAACGTAAAAAAAATTGTCTGTTGCCAAAAACAAAACAGACAAAATATTTGTTCTGTTTCTGTTTTCAAGTGTGCCTTAAAATCATTGACCTCCCAAATTTGATTTGTTTTGTTTCCCATGATTCTGTTTTCTACGTGATTCTCTTTCTCTTTATCATCGTTGTTCTTTCATGAATGTCAACCAAACCAAGGAAAAAAAATTTCCACTTTGAAATTCCTTATTTGTGCATTTTTCTCTTGTTCTTCTTCTTCTTCTTCCAATAATTTCCAAATGTTGTGTGTGTGTGTTTGCCTATTTGTTTGCATGTTTGTGTGTGATTTGTGTTTTATTTGCATCATTTTTTTTCTCGGTAATCATCATCATCGCTGTCGTCTCGTTGATTTGAATCACAAATAAAAGTTTTACCTGGCCGCACCACTTATCATTCATTCATTCATTCATCAATAAAAAACCGGAAAAAATATTTTCCAAAAGTGCCCATTTAGAAATATATTTGGAAAACAGCTCCCTCGAATTCAAGAATTTCGACCGAATCACAAGAATCGAACGATCATCATCCAAATGTCGAAATCAATTCTGTTAGACATGTTACATATCAATACTGTTGATTTATATATACACCAGATATCCCCATATATACAAAACAAAAAAAAAACGAAAAAAAAAATTCAAATGTCAAACCAAAACATTATGTTATGTATAATTATTATATGTATTAAGTGTGTGTGTGTGTTTTTGTGTGTTTATCAAAATTCGGAAACTTTCTTCATTATTTATTCATTTTTTGATGGACAAAAATAACTAATGCTAGAATCTTATCATCAAATTTATCCACCACCACCTTCCCATTCTACATGTTTGTGTCCACATACACTATTTTCAAATTTCATTTTTTTCGTTTCTTGATTCTAGCAATTGTCACAATACAATACACAAAACGTAATGATTGAATAATTTTCAATTTATATTTGTGATACATTCGAATTTAAAGTTTTGCAAATTCTTGTTTCTTGATTCTTTCTTTTTTCCCCTTGATCTTCATTTTATCAAAATATATACATCATCATTCCATCATTTGCCTGGCCAAATATCCAATGTAAATAGACAGTCAATCATTCAGTCAGTAAATTCAATTTGATCATCAAATAATGATGATGATTAACCATATTAGGCCATTATTATCATCAGTAATCATCAACCAATTGTTGTGATTTATGTAAAACATTCATTTTCGTCAGTTACTTTTGAGATTTGATTTAAGATTGCTAATTGTTATTGGATATTTTCCTTTCTTTCTTTCTTTCTTTCCTCACGGTGTTTTTTCTTTATGAAACAAATAATCATTATTACATGCTAAATTGCCTAAAATAATTATGAAAATGTTTCCCATTGTTTATTCCATTGTTTTTTCTTTGTTGAATGAAATGATTCCAGACACACACTAAGACACTTATACAGTTTTCTGTATTTTCCAAGTTTCTTCCTTTTGATTTGAAAAATACCAAACAAACCAACGACAAAAAAAACAAACAAAACCAAGAATTAGCCAATGATTTCATTGTCAAACAATTCAAACAGCAGCATCTTTTTGTTTTTCTGTTTTTTTTCTCATTAATTCAATTCAATAATGATTGACAAGTTTATTTTCTGCTATAGCAAACTACTACTTATGTAATATTTCTTTCTTTCTTTCGAATGATAACATTTGACATTTCAAAAATACACAAACATTAAATCAATCCGTGAATATCTTACTTTAGAATATCGATCTGATTGAATTACAGAAAAATTTAACTATTTTTTTCTATAGTGAACAAACACACAGCAAAACAAAATGACAAACATCAATCACTCATTCATTCATTTGTAAATTTCTTTTTTCTTTCTCTTGCATCAAAAGTATTTAAAAACAAAAACAAAAATTGTTTGAAAATTAAGTTTTATTTCGAATTTAAAATTGCAAATTCACATTTACATTTTCTTCTCTTGTTTTTCTTTGAATCAAACGTGAATAATAATAATAAATTTAATAATTGAAAATTACAAAATTTTTAAAAATTATAAAAATTATCATTTTCTAAATTTTTTAAATAATGGATGTTTATAATCATTAGATTTTTTGGATTTAAATTCCAGATAAACATTATCATCAGCACCTGATAATGAATTAATATTACCAGATTTTTTCGTTACAAACGATTGTTTTGTTGAATCATTTGAATCCATTACTGAAATTTTTTCCAATTCACCATCCGAATCGGTTGCCTGTAATACTTGTTGTAATAATTGCATTTGTTCATCTTTATTTGTATAAAATAATTCTTCATCATCAATTCCTTTAATAGTTGTTATTACTTTATAACTATAACCTTGATTAACTAAAAATCTTTGTCGTTTACGTGAATATTGCATTTCTAATGTATCTTGTGATACAAGTGAATAAAAATATGCATTATATTCTTCAGTAACAGCACCTTTTTTTGCACGTAAAATTCTACCTAAACGTTGTGCTTCTTGTCGTCGGGAACCACCATGTGATGATATTTGAATTAGGACATTTGCTTCAGGTAAATCGAATGATGTATCAGCAATTTTCGATACAAATATTGTATTCAATTTTGGATTAAATTGAAAATTCTGTAAAATTTGTAAACGTTCACCTTGTGATGTTGGACCATAAATATAAGGACGGCCAAGTTTTTTAGCATAATTAACTAATGCAAAAATATTATCCGAAAATACAATAATTTTATCATTACGTTTTTCATGATATTTGATTAGAAATTGACAGACACGAAATTTATGCGGATTCATTACATAGAATAACATTTTTTTCATTGATTTTGCTGATAAATATTCACGATAAAATTCTGGATGCATTGGACACCAAACTTCAGCACATTGTACCCGAGCAATATAACCCGATGATTGTAATTCTAACCAATTTGCTTCATATAATTTTGGACCGATTAAAAAATTTAAATCAGCAATTTTATCATCTTCACGTACTAATGTTGCTGTCAGACCAAGTTTACAATGTGCCTGAACAATAGTCAATACACGACGAAACATACGAGCCGGTATAGTATGTACTTCATCCAATAACATTAGACCCCATTCTTGTTCTTTTACCCAACGCATTACTTGTTCGGCTTCCCATGAACGTTTTTGTGCATGTGTTATCATCGAATAAGTAGTAATCATTACACCGCTACCAATTGGTTTATCTTTTGCATCCGATGTAAAACGACAAATCATACTATCATCGGCTGTTGACCATAATTTAAATTGTACACGCCATTGTTCAACCGAAACCGATGAATTACATAATACTAAACAACGTTTACGTATAGTACATGCTGCTGTAACACCGGTTAATGATTTACCGGCACCACATGGTAATACAATAACACCTGATCGTGCACGACCATTACCAAACATTTTTCGTAATGATTTTTCCTGATAAGGACGTAATACGGCATTCGGTTTAAGATCAATATTAATATCACGATTTTGTGTATCATTTTTAAAATCATATTCAGCCAACAAAGGATATTCTAATTGTATACAACGTTTTTGTATTGTTTCAATTTCAGCTTGATTTACTTCGAATGATAATGTTTGTATATCTTCAGGTTCTTCATCATCACGTTCCATTTTTTCATAAAAATTAAATAATTCTTCCGGTATATTTTCCGGTTTATTTTTCAATGTATCAATTTTATCATTCGTATCATTATCATTTTTATTATTTTCACCGGCAAAATTACCTTTATTTGTAATTGTACCTTCGATTAGATTTTCACCATCATTATTTGTTATCGTTGAATCATTTCGTATACGACATTTAGCAATAATTGGATCACGTATTAATTTCTGTATTACATCTGGAAATGTTGATTCAACAAAATAACGATTATGTTTCAGTACTAATTTAACTTTTCCATAGCTAAATGTACAAAGTTTAATAAATTCAACAATACTTTCTGGAATAGATGTTTTACTTAATCGACTTAAATATTGTATGATTTCATCCGTATGTAAACCAACCGAAACAGCAGCATATAATGAATAAGCAGTTAATTTATATTGATGAATATTTTCCGGTCTTGATACCGGTTCCGAAATAGTGATAAGAAAATCTTGTGCTTGTTTATATAATGGTGAAAATTTTTCCAGAAATATATTACCATCCGGTGCTACCCATAATGGTCGAACAGAATAATCATCTTTTAATATTAATTCATTTGTATAATCTTTGGCACCATATTCATCTTCAACAATTGTATCGGTAACTGATCGAAAAGCAGCTTCAGGTACTTCGGCACCATCACCATCACCAATACTACCATCATCCTGATCGATTTCCATACGACTTGATGATGATTCTTGTTGTCCATATTTATTCGATGATTTTCCAAAATTTTTTTTATTACCAACTTTCTTTCGATACATGATTTTCAAACTCAATTCTGTTTTTGTTGTTGTCGATCAACGAAAATAACCAAACAAAACAAAACAAAACAAAAAAATTATCATGCTTTCAACGGCCAAATTAATACCTTGAAAGTATCTTTGAGGAAAATTTTGTCCAAAATTTAAAATTGAAAATTTTTTTTTGAAATTATTTATTTACAAAACGAAACAAAAACAAAATAGTTTTTTTTCAACTACAAAATACTTGATACAAAATTGTTTTGAATGAGAAAAAATTGTTTGAAAAAAAGATTCTATTTGTTAATACCGAATAAATCGGAAAAAGCACTATACATAGTGAATGCAATGGCCACTTCCAATGAAACTTTTACCAATCGTGGTACTAAACCTTTATAAAATCCTAATAATCCTTCATTACGATAGATTTTAGTCATACAATGAATAACACCACGATATTTATGTGCTTCAAGTCCTTGCATTCTAGTTTTTACAACATCCATTGGAGTGTTACCGAACACTGATGTTGCACCGGCAATTGCACCAAAAATTGGTATAAGAATTTTTTTATTTTTATCCTTATCCATTGGTTGACGATTATTATGCCATTCTTGTAATGAATCAAAAACAAAAAATCTAATTGCTTGATTTGAACCTTGTTTGATTAATGTTGGCATTACACCTTGGTATGTACCACGAATTCCTTTTTCTCTAATTATCTCTTTAATACCATGTATTAATCCATTATATTTAGGTCGATCACTAAAACGATCATTAATAAATTTTACTTTAATTGATTCTTGTGGTATAACGGCAAATAATGCTTCAAAAATTCCAGCACCAAGACCACAGATTAATTTATCTTTCGATCTTAATTGACCATCATTATCAACATAGAAACGTTTGATTTGTTCATATGATCCAAATCTGTTGTTGTTGAACAAGAATTATATAAGCAAAAAAAGTTAAGTTCGAATATGATGATATTGATTGTTCTAATACCGGAACATATATTTTGGAATGGCACCATAAAATACGACACTAAAACCACGATAAACACCTAATATACCATAACTTCGTAACGTATGACGAATAACATCGAATGAATTTTTAAAACGACGTTTTTTACCACTTCTTTCATCTAATTGTAAAATAATTTTAACAAAATCAGTTGGATATGTAAAACAAACTTCAACACATCCGGATAAGCCACCTTTATTTAAAAAAAACAAAACAAAACAAAACAAACAATTAGTATGGATGTTTTCTTCATTTTCAAATATTTTCAAATCAATCAATAAACTTACTAGCAAATAATTGTTTACCAGTATTTATCCAATATGTATTCAATATTGGTAATTCGGTTTTACGTTTTTTACCAATCATTTCATTGGTTGTTTTTGTTGTTGTTGTTGTTGTACTATTTGGTGTGAGTAACATACTATTGTTGGCCATGATTCAAATTATTATTATTATTCTGTTGTTGATTCTGGGTAATACAAAACTAAACACACGCACAAACATCCAAAATACAAAATCAATCTAATCATATGATTTTATTTGAAAATCAATAAAACATTATCCGTTGTTGTTGATTACAAATGACACAGAATTAATTAAATTAACCAAAAAAGTTTTTCATTTGAAGAATATTTTTGTAAAAAAGGGAACAATGCCTTGATGATGATGAAATGAGTAAGCTTAAATTCATTTTTTCCTGATGATGATGATGATCATTATATGACGAAGAACAGAATTCATGCCAAACAACAGTGTGGATTCCCATCATTTCGAACGTTATGAATTATTCAGTTTACACATTCACATTGTTCTCCCCGTTTTCTTTTTCCTTTTTCGCTCCCTCGCTTTTAAAATGGTTTTTTCCTGAATATAAGTCATCTTATTTATAAAAATATCTATATCACTTTGATGAATCAAAAAAAAGAAAGAAAGAAATTTGTACATTATCTACGTCATTTATTCAAAAAATGTTTTTCTTTTCGTTGATGAAATACTTTCTTTGTTGAAATCTGCTTAGCTAGGCTTGATAGCTATAGCTAGGTTTGATCAATAAATATCGTCTGATTAATAGAAACATCAACATCAACATCTATAGATCTATCACCATGGTTATATCAGTGAGTGAGAGAGAGAGAGAGAGAGAAAATGATGATAATGATAATTCATTCACACCACAACAATATAACCATATCGAACAATAACTAATAACCTCTTTGTATACTTTTCTTTTAGTGATTTAGTTTCATTTGGGTGCCAAAAAAAATCTGCTTGACAAAATACGAAAAAACAAACAGAATTCATTCGTTCATTATCATCATCATCAACATGAAGAATTCATAGATTTCATCAAGATTTTTTTTTGTCATCACAACCATGATGTACTTTCTTTATTTAATCATTCGCTGTTGTTATTTTCAACAATTAACAAAAAAAAAATTCATCATTTTTTTTTAAAGTACAAAAACGAGATTTTGAAATAATAAAAAATCAAACAAACGAAAAACTTGGAAAACAATAAATTTTTTGTTGGTGATTCTCTTTACTCACACTGATTAATATAAAAAAACAAAACAAAACAAAACCGGAAGCAATTTGGTAAAAAAACACAGAAAAAAATCCAATGTTGAAGAAGACAATGTTTTTGTTGTTGTTGTTGTTGTTAAAAGTAAAACTGTATAAATATATTCTCTATATAAAAAAAATGATTGTGAAGTTATCATTATCATCGATTGATGAATGAATTAAGGTGTCTTCCATATGGTATTAAATAATTCCATAAAACTATCATAAATCATAAATGTAATTGCAACATCTAAACAAACACGTCCTAAACGTGGTACTGTTCCTTTATAGAATGCAAAAAAACCTTCATTTTTAGCAATTTTTATAAAACAATCAACAGTTCCTTTATATTTTTTTGCTTCAAGACCTTGCATTCGTGTTTTAACAACATCAATAGGTGTATTACCAAATACGGATGCAGCACCAGCAAATGCACCAAATAAACCGGTAACAAGTTTATTTACTTTTTTATTTGGATCACCACCACGATACCAATCTTTTAATGTTTCCATAACAAAAAATCTGATTGCTTGATTTGATCCTTGTTTCATAATTGTTGCCGTTAAACCTTGATATGTACCACGAATACCTTCATGACGAACAATTTCTCGTACACCATGAAAAAAACCACGAAATTTTGGATTCGTACTATTTTGGTCATTAATAAATTTTACTTTAACAGTTTCCATTGGTGTTACGGCAAATATTGCTTCACAAACACCAGCACCTAAACCACAAAGTAAACGATTCGATATTGATAGATTTCCTTTTTCATCAACACTACGTTTTTTAAATTCTTCAAATGCACCAAATCTAAATACAGAAAAGAAAAAAGGATTAGATGAATATTTTAGGCATTATATTTGTTTTGAAACACTAAACCTGACAGCTGATTTTGGAATGGAACCATAAACTAATACACTAAGACCACGATAAAGACCAAAAAAACCATGTGAACGTACTGTTTGTCTAACAACATCAGCAATACCATTATAACGTGGTTTAGCACTTCTTTCATCTAATTGTAGCTGTGTTTTAACATATTCTGTTGGGAATGTTATACAAATTTCAATTCCACCGGTAATACCACCTTTTGAGAAAAGAGAGAAAACAAAACAAAGAAAAATCAATCAATCAACCAATAATCAATAATAATATTTTACCTGCAACAATTCCTTTGATTGTTTTTTGAAAATTTTTTGATGGTTGTGTTGTTGTTGGTGGTGATGGACCGGTAATAATGGTAGCACCCGAAGGTTTCGATGATGATGAATTATTATTGGACATTATTGATTAATGAATTTTGAGGTATTTTCTAAAAATTTGAAAACAAAATTTTTATAAACAAAAAAAAACGAGATGTTTTAAAATAACTCTAGAATCACTCTCTTTCTCTCTCCTTCGAGGAAAAATTTCGAATCAATTCGAATTGGCTATTGCCACAATACTGTTGTTGATGACATTGTAGGTTCGATCAGCGGTCGATTTTTTCTAATATGATGTGTGTTTTGTGTATTTTGTTTGTTTTTTGAGTGATAATAAATGTACGAAAATAGGGAGAGAGAGAGATAGAGAGTGAGTATTGAATGAAATGAGTTTTTTTTTGTATTTTTTTGGTGGGATTTGATAAATCCTATCAGGCTCTATTAGACAACAACAACAACAACAGTGTCGACGTCATCTTTCTCTTCAAAAAAAAAGCTGTTCGGCTGTTTAAAATCGATAAAAATATTGTTGATGATGTTGATGGTGGATAATTAACAAAGAAAGAAAAACTAGGAACATTTTGCATCGATAATTATGATGTCAGAATGAATGAAGGAAATGATTTCAAGTTGAAAACAAAATCTTTACGGATGTAAACTTGTTGTTATTTTTTCTTCGGAAATTTTATTTGTAATTAAACTAAAAACATTGAAGTTTGAGAGTGAGAGAGAGAGAGAGAGAGCAAAACATTCTCTCCAAAATTTTTTTTTTTGCATCGGGAATCATGTTTTTTTTTCTCGTTCGGGAAATCTTTTTTTTTGTGTGAGTAACCAAGAGTAACAATCATTCATTTATATCAGGTGTGGAAAAAAAACTAAGATTTTTGGTGATGTTATTTTCCATCACCAAAAGACAGACAGACAACAATTAAATAATACATGCATGTGTATATGACATGTAAAATGACGCCATACCCATGCTGATGATGATAATTGAATGAATGTGGTGACGATGATGATGATGATTAAGATGATGACGGAATGGTTAGGATTTTTTTTTTGTTCTTAGTCAATCATCATCATCAGTTGATCATCATCATTGTTTATAGAAACATTTGACATACACTGATTGATTGGAATGTTTTTTTTGTTGATGTTTTTGAAGATGGAAAATCAATGTTTATCAAACGGAATATATTTCTTTCTTTGTTTTGTTTCGTTCGATTAGTAAACAAAACTAATGAAGAAATTTGAATACACCATTCATATTTGTTTGGAAAAATTTGTTTTGTTTTGTTTTGGAATGAAGAGAAACGAATGAAATAAACAAAAAGAAAATCTCAACACTGTTCTGTGTGTGTGCCATTTTCGTAAACAAAAACAAAAAACATCGCGAAAGCGAAAGAGAAAAACAGGCAAGCAAGAAAGCAAGCGAGAGAAAACGTAATTTGCCGTTTCTCTCTTGCATATTCCAAAATTCGAGTGTGAGTATTGTTGTTGTTGTTGTTTGGACTCTAACAAAATCCCATTGAAACAAAAAAAACAAAGAAAAAAAAATTCACTACTGAAAATCGTTGCCGCATTCAATTTTTTGTTAATTTGTTTGTTATAATCATCATCATCATCAAAATCAACATTATTTGATTTTAAATTTGAAAACAAAATTTGTTAAATAATTTGAAAGATGATATGATAGTGATAATGGTAAGGATTTTCATTTTGATTATGATTCGATTTTGATTATGATTTGATTCGATTTCATTGATAATGATGCAAATTTTCTAATTTTCCAAACAGATGATAATGTGGTTATGATGGTACCCTTGATTCGAATGAATAATTATTTTATGGCTGGCCATGATCTTGAATTCCATTGACTGTAAACCATTTTTATATCGATATAATGATAACGGATTTTTAAAATTAATCGAATAATGATACCTCTCTTAAAAATTTCGTAACCATCATCCTCTTTAATGCGTATTCTTTAATGTTATCATCATCATCATATTATAAATATCATCCGTGTCTTGATCAAATTTCCTCATCATCATCATCATCTAATTATCATCATCATTCGTACAATGTGACTTTCTTTCTTCTTTTTCTAAATTTTGTGACGTTGTGAATTTCTCTCCTTTCGTTTGTGTGACCGTCATCGATTTGTTTGTTTGTTCGTTTTGTTGTATCTTATTTCCTTTTTTGTTTAATCGATAAAAAATTAATTGGTTTGTTGTTTTTTTAAAAAAA